CAAGCACATATGTGGTGCTCACATGTGCAGGCAGGCAGGAACGCATGCGCGCGTGCACACACATACACATACACACACACACACACACTTTTTTTTTTTTTAAGTTTTATGTAGGAAACAAGATGTGGCTCAGTAGTAGAGCCTTTATTTGGCTCGTGTGAGGCTCTAGGTTTAGATCTGTCAGACAAGGATAAATTTTACTCTTTTCCCATTGGGAGGCTGCCATGGATGGTTCCAAGGACTTTGTTCACCTGGATAAATCAGCTTGTGTGGACATTGAAAAGGACAGGATAAATACTTCTTTCAGCTCCCATGGACAAGGAAGCCTTGGTTCTAACCGGTCTGGCTTAGCCACCCCTAGTGAAGGTTGGCTGCACCTGGTCCTGGGCTCCAGACCACCAGCTGCAGTTTTTCATCAGATGGTTACAGGTCTCGGGAGGCTGAAAGTTTCCAAACAGCAGAGACAAAAATAGTCTGAAGGAGGCTGAACTAAGTACTAGACTCCAAGCATTCTGCCCCTTCCTCCTTCTGTTATCATGGTGCTGCTCAAGCCAGACTTCCTCACTTGTAGCCAAGGCCCCTCTGCTGCCTGACCTGCATCGTGCACCATCCCAACCCTTCGAAAATCAGCCCTCGTTTGTATTAAGCAAGCACTCCACCAACTGAGTTAACCCAGTAATGTTTTTCCTGTTCTAAGTTTTTAAACAGTACCGAACTATAAAGAAAGAAAACATAAAGTTGTGTAGGTGGGGGGGGGGGGTCTGGGAGGAACTGGGAGAGGGTTAATGATCTATATATACTATAAGGTTTGAGGCCAGACTGTTCCACATAGTGAGTTCCAGGTCAGCCAGGGATACCTAGAGAAATCCTGTCTCAAAAAACAAAACAAACAAAAACAACATATATACATATACATATTCTATGAAAAAAACTCAATTAGAGAAATAGTAAGCTAGATGTGGTGGTGCATGCTTTTAATCCCAGCAGCAGTCAGGAGGCTTAGCAAGGCAGATCACGGTGTTCAAGGCCAGTTTGGTCTGCATGGTGAGTTCCAAGACAGTCAGAACTACACAGGGAAGAGACCCTTCCTCAAAAGGACAACAGAAGTGCTACAGGGTTCCACCTCATCCCTTCAGAACAGCCAATGCAGGGAGGATACTTCAGGAGACAGCACCCTTCCCATACACACCCTGTGGAAGTGTGTATTAGTCCAGCACTGAGGAAATCAGTATGATGGCTCCTCAAAACACTAACAGACAGCTAGCATGCACTCAGCCAGACCACTCTTGGGTAATACTTGAAGAACTCAGACACCTGCCCATGTTCATAACAGCTACGTTATGGGGTCAGTCTAGGTGTCTGTCCAACAACATGCAAATGGATTAAGGAAATGGGACATACACACACACACACACACACACACACACACACACACACACAATGGAATTTTACCTAGCCATAAAGAACAAAATTATGTCATTTACGGGAAATGGATACAACTGGAGAACATCATATTAAGGGAAGTGAGTCAGAAAAACAATTATCATATTCCATCTGTAGATCCTAGATTTTATACAGATACATAAAAATCATAAATGCATATAAGATTCGAAAGTAGAAGCAGAACTATGAGTGGGAATGTTTGGAAATAACAGGAAAGTGCCAAAGAACATAATAAGTTTATATAAAAATGTGTTTATGAATTCTATCCCTATGCACAATCAATTTTAAAAAGTATTGAACTGTTCGTAAGAAATTTAAATTCAGTATAAACTTAATTAATTAAATTTGCTAGTAACTAAATATCCTTGGGGAAATTGAGCTTGTTAGGTTATGCATCCCAAGTACTTAAAAAGAAAATCAAATATATTAAAATTATAAATGGAGCTAAATGTTTGAGGGGATGTAATTAAACTGTAAGTAGAGCTGAGTGTCTAGAGGAATTTAGTTTGTTCAACTTGAGTTCAAACATTAATCAAAAAAAAAAGTTAAGGTTGTTTTTCTTATTTCTCTAAATTTTTGTGTAGAATATTGAAGACTTTTCCCCCCACTGAGACAGTCTCACTTCATAGCCTAGGGCTGGCTTCAACCTTTCAAAATTTCTGACTTAGTCTCCCAGAGTGCTGGGATTACAGTTAAGCGCCACTGTGCCTGCCTCAACAATTACATTTTTGTTGTTGTTGTTTTTCAACACAGGGCTTCTCTGTGTAGCTTTGGAGCCTGCCCTGGAACTCACTCTGTAAACAGGCTGGCCTCAAACTCAACAGTTACATTATTTATAAAAATTTTAATCTTTTGCTGGGCAGTGGTGGCTCACACCTTCAATTCCAGCACTCGGAAGGCAGAGACAGGTGGATCTCTGTGAGTTTGAAGGCAGCCTGGTCCACAGAGTGAGTTCCAGGACAGCCAAGGGTACACAGAAAAAGCCTGTCTCCCTGCTCCCAAAAGAATAATAATAATAATAATACAAAAGCTTGGGTGACCGCTCAGTGGTTCAAAGCATTTGTTTCTCTTGCAGGAACCTGGATTCAGTCTCCAGTACCCACATTGCAGGTCACAACTACCCATAATTCCCTAAAGGGATCCAAAGCACAAGTGTGGTGCTCATACACACACACACACACACACACACACACACACACACACACTCACACTCAGGCAAAACACTCACACATGCAAGGTAAAAATAATAAATGTTAAAAAAATAACACTTTAAGTAAAGATTAAATAAATAAGGCACACCTTTAACTCCCTGTAGTCACATAAAATGATTCCCTGTCCTCTGAACTTCCAATCAACCTAATTTGTTGTAGGTCTCTTGTAGGTGATCAGCAGAACCTAAGTAGTCTTTCCCTGCAGGCTCACGACTTCCTGCCAGGAGTTACCAAGATGCTGTGCAGGCAGTAAATACCCGGAGCACATCCTCAGTGCTGTCCACTTTCCTTTCTAGTCCCTAACAGCCTTTACTGCTGCTCTTTACAGGTTATATAAAGCAGACAGTCAGGCCTGATCAAGGTCACATAGTCAGAAGAAGGGCTAGGCCTAGAGACCAGCCCTTGGTTTAATCTAACTAACTAATTCCTTTAGAGAAAGAGTCTAATGTAGTTCGAAGGCTGGCCTCAAACTCTGTGTAGCCAAGGATAACTTTGAACTCCTGCCCCTCCTGCCCCACCTCCCAAGAGCTGGGATTACAGTTCTGTGACAGTCTGTCTTCAGCCTTCTCTAAATTTCAGAATCAGCCCCATTTGCCCTAGGTGTTTCCACTTCATATCTAAGGGACAACTCACATGGAACACAATTTACAGAGCTGGAGAGCATGCCAAAAGCATGTAGTACTCTCACAGAGGACCCAAGTTTGGGACCTGGCACCCACACAGGGCTAGCTCACACACCACCTCTAACTCCAGCTCCTGGGGATCTGATACCCTCTTCCGTGGGCACTGCCATTCAGGAGCATATATCAACCCCTTTACCCACCTTTTATATATGCATAGTTTACTCAACAAAAAAATAAATCTTTAAACACATACAATTTATAGGTCAGGCATGGCAGTGCATGTCTATAATTTTAGCCTTCCAGAAACAGAGACAGGAGGATCACCAGGAGTTCAGAGTCAGACTAGTCTGTGTAGCTGGTTCCAGGCCAGCCAGATCCAGTGTGAAAACTTGTCTCAAAACAAACAAAAATCATTTGATCTCTAAGGTCAAACTTTGATTTATCCCTAGATGTTAATTTGTTGTTGTTGTTGTTTGTTTTTTTTTTTTTTTAGGACAGTTTGTGTGTGTAGCCCTGGCTGACATGGAATTCATAAACCAAATTGGCCTTGAACTCTCCAGAGTCCTGGGACTAAAGGCCTGCACAATGAAGCCCAGCTTTTATTTTATTTGATTCGAGACAGGGTTTCTCTAAGTAATAACTCTGGCTGTCCTGGAACTAGCTCTGTAGACCAGGCTGACCTTGAACTCACAGAGACCTGCCTGCCTCTGCCTCCCAAGTGCTGGGATTAAAGGTGTGAGCCACGACTGTCTGGTTTGAGCCCAGCTTTTAATTCCTCTTTTTTTTTTTTTTTTTTTTTTTTGCATACGTCTGCTAGCTTGCTGGGTCTGTCCTACCTCCCAGAACGAATCTCAAATCTGATGATTATTCTAATCTACTCTACTCTAAATCACACTCCTCTGTAATAAACCCTCTTCAGTCTATTTTCTACCAAGAAGTCAGAAAGATAACATTAAAATGTAAATAAGATTTTGTCACATTCCAGTTTAAAGCCCTTCAGTGACTCCCTAGTGCAATTAGGAAAATAAATAAATAAAGGACTCCTTACCACGGGTTACAAGGCCAGACTAGAAATGACCTCAAGCCACCTATTCAGAGTCCACTCTACACTTTAAGCACGCAACCGCCTCTAAAACTTTGCACAAACACTGTCCCATTTACCCTGCTACTACATATTCACTCCTCCGTTAAGTGGCTACCCAGGCTTAAAGAGCACCGCCTGCCTGTCCAAGCATTCAGTTTCCTCTGCTACAAAGTGCTAGTTTCCAGAAGAGCTGGGCCTCTCCATTACCCACACAGTAGCCAGAGCACTCCAGGAGAGCTAGGACCAGCTCAAGACCGAGAGGGAAACCTCAGATAAGCATCTGTAGGGTGCCTTTTACAACCAGATGGCCTGCCTTCGAGGCCAGGCTTCTTGGCTTCAAAGCCTACGAGCCGGAGGACAGGAAGCAAAGGCAAAGCCAACTTTTTCTGTTGAGGAGTGGATGAATGGTTAGACCTCTAGGACCCGACGTTTGCCACCTCCAAACCTACACCCGGAATACAGGTTCACAGAAGACAAGGCAGAGGAGCGAGGTGAAGCCACAGAAGCCCAGAACCCCTCGCCTCTCTATCCACTCCCTATGCCAGAAAATGCTGATAACGCGGATTTAGAACGAAGTTGTTGTCATTCTGGGTAGAGAAATGACCTAGAACTCGGCCCAGGATGTCTAGCCAAAGATACCTGGCTCCGTGGCTGGACGGCTCGGGCTCCTCCTCCTGTGTTCTCGAGTCGCGCTCTGTCCTCTGGGATTCGTAGTCCTTCCTAGTTGTATCCGCGAAGACTGATCGCTAGGGCGAGACAGCGCGGGGGAAGATGGGGAAGCCAAAGGGCTTTTGGGAGTTGCAGTTCAAAAAGTCAAAAACAGCAAGAAATAATTGAGGAGAAAAACTGGGTAATAAATTTTGCCAAACTTTGGCTGTGTGAATATCAACATCGTAAGAATCTGATATCCTAAGCACACTATTAGTTTCTGTGTGGTTCAAAACGTCAACGCTGAGATACAGGGGAGGAACTACAATTCCCATAAAGCAGTGCGCACCGAAACTTTTGGTTGGAGCGAGAAGTAGGTCTCCACGCAGGCTCAGTGGTGTCGGTTCAGTAGCGAGGAAACATGGCACCCACGATCACTTCGCGTCTGTACTCACTGCTGTTCCGCAGGACTTCCACCTTCGCCCTCACCATCGTAGTGGGCGCCCTTTTCTTCGAGCGCGCCTTCGATCAGGGCGCAGACGCGATCTACGAGCACATCAACGAGGGGGTGAGGGCCTGGGCCGTCCTGACCTTGGGCCCGCCTGAGGGGTGACTGGGAGGGAGGGAGGAAGGACGAAACTCAAGTCTTCCCTTACCAGGACCGGGGTGCTGAGATCATTGTCATGAAACTGTACCTTCAAACTCACCTAGTGTGAGCCCTAAATCTCATAGTGACCCCGCATTGCAGGGGCTGGGAGTATCGGTATGTCCTGCCACACATTCCCACGTTCTTTCTCATTTGCAAAATCTAACACCTGAGACCTTAAAGGTCCCTAAGTCAGTGGGTTGCAAATGGATTGGAACTCAGACCCCTGCATCCCTTATCGTTTCAAGGGCAGCAGGTCAGCCATTAAAAGTATGTGACCGTAGACAATGTGGCTGACCTTATAAAACTGTTGTTTAGTTCCCAAGGCCTCCCACGCAGGCATCTTTTTAATGGTTAAAAGTGGAGGGTATGAATTCTCAAGCCCTGGCTGGGAATACTGGAACTTCCCACTTAACTGTGGCATTAAGTTGATTAAGTTGAGTGAAGATCATAGTAGGGACTACCTACCTCTTGGGACGCCGATGAGGTGTCATCAATCATAATAGAGAATACCAGTGAAAGATACATTTACCTCATGTCTTAAAGAACGTGGGAACATAAAACCGTTCCAGGTTCTGTGCATGTTTTATGTCATGAGATGTGGCTGTACTGAGAAAGCACAGAAGGCCAGCCTGTTCCTCGACTGGTTTTCTATTTTTATTTTTCAAGACAGCGTTTCTCTGTGTAGCACTAACTTTCCTGGAACGGGCTGTGTAGACCAGGCTGGCTTTGGACTCAGAGATCCACCTGTCTCTGCCTCCCAGGTGCTGGGATTAAAGGCGTGCACTACCGATGCTCAGCTACTGATGCTCAGTTCCTCTACTGGTTGTCTTCTCCTCCTCCTCTTCCTCCTTTTTGGTTTATTTGGTTTATTTTAAATTTTATTGTTTCAATTTTATAGGTATATGTTTGCCTGCTTGTATGTCTATGCACCACATTTGTGTCTGTGGAACTCCCTCTGTAGACTAGGCTGGCCTAAAATTCAGAGAAATCCATCTACCTTTGCTGCCTCAGTGCTAGAATCAAAGGCATGGGCCATCACCCTCCAGGATAACTGTACATTTTTAATCAGGGTTTGACACTGATTTCTCAATAGTCTTTGCTTTGGACAACAAACATAGTTGTAAAGTGTGAAGGCAAAGGTTATAATTAACTGTTGTATTTTCAATGCAGAAGCTATGGAAACACATAAAGCACAAGTATGAGAACAAGGAGTAATCCCTGTGCCAATGGCCAGAAGGAAGACTACCACCCGTCACCTGTTTGCCTGGAGCTGGACCTCAGCCTGAGGATGAGTTTGAAGCGTCTCTTCATGGACCACCTGTACAAGCAAGCAGTGTCTCCACCCTACAGACTCTAGCTTCTGCTGTGTTTGAAGTGTATGACGACAGTTATCAGCAAATAAAAGTAAATTGTTCATGAGACACCTGTTTTTGAACATTATTAACTTCCTGATTGGTTGTTGAGATCATGTCCAAGCCCCATGCAAACCCCTGAAGACTCCACCATTTTAAGTTTTCCTATAATTTTAAAGAATTATGATTTCAACGCATAAGCCTGATAGACATTTCCTTTAAAACATTAGTTACAGTGAGTGGGTGTTGTGGTGCCCAAGGAAGCATTAGATCTCTGAAACTGGGGTTACAAATAGTTGTGAGCTGCTTGGTGGGTGTTGAGAATTGAACCCAAATCTTCTGGGGGAGCAGCCAGTGCTCTCAATTGTTGAGCCATTTCTTCAGGGCCCCTCCATTTTTAAATCGCACAGTGATTGTTCTTTTGGACATGAGGAAGCACTGTGGTCTTGGCTAGGAGTCGTGCCCCAATCTCTGTCTCAGGCTTTAACTCAATGAGTGGTTTTTTATAATCTTCATGTCTTTCTGGGCCTCCTGCTAGGGTTTCTACAAGGGTTTAAATCCAAGCCCAACAATTCTTTTTTTTTTAAAAAATATTATTTATTATGTATATAGTATTCTATCTGAATGTATGCCTGCAAGCCAGAAGAGGGCATCAAATCTCAGTTTGAGATGGCTTATCTGGGCTACAATGTGGTTCCCTGGGAATAAAACCCGCCCCCCCGGAAGACCCCCCAGTCCCCTAACCCCCGAGCCATCTCTCCAGCACCCAAGCCCACATTCTTAACGTATGTACCTGCAACCCCCTCCTCTGAGAGTACTTATCTGTAAAGTGGGGTTAATAGAGATAACCTATTGCACAGGGAGTTTGGTGAATTTTTTTAAACTTTAGGAGGCTGGAAAAAAGGCACAGTGACTAAGAGCACTTGCTGGTCTTACAGAGGTTTGAGTTTTTTTTGGTTTGGTTTGGCTTTGGTTTTTCTGTGTAGCTTTGGAGCCTGTTCTGGAACTCACTCTGTAGACCAGGCTGGCCTCTGCCTCCTAGTGCTGAGATTAAAGGCCAGTGCCGCTGCTGCCGCCTGAGGATTGGGGTTTGAAACCAAGCACCAAACTGCCTGAAATCCCAGCTACAAGGGGATCACACACTCTGCTTTGGCCCCCAAGGGCACCATTCATTCTCAGACACGGACACACATGCACACACAATTCTTTATCACAGATCCTGTCACTGGGAGGCAGCTGCTGGTGCAAAGGCATGGACTATGAGGACCCAGAAAAGGGCACTATGGCTCCATTGCCTTCGGGCTGCAGCAAGCAACATGATGGTGTGAAGCATAGTGCACTGACCTCAAATAGCCAATGAGCAGGCTGCGGGGTGGGGCAGACGAAGCATCCTTAGCATTCTGGATGGTTGGAGCAATAGGAATATAAGGAAGAGGTACCCAAAAAAACAAAAATAAAAAAACAAAAAAAAAACAAAAAAACAAACAAACAAACAAAAAAAATAACAGCAACAAATACTTGGGTGGCCCTTGCCTGAAGGGCATAGGGTAGAAAATTGCATGAGGATCTTGAACACCTAAAGAAAGGGAGACACTAAGTACCATGATGTCATTACGTAATGAGTCAAGAGCTCTGGGGAACAGTGCAAGAAGAAACAGCCACAGGGAAGTTGGGGGCCTCCAAATAGCCTAGAGACCTGTGGGTGATAGAATTGAGCATTTGGGTTGGGTCTTTGAAACAAAGCTGAGGAAGCAGGGCAAAAGGCCCTGAATTTGTTTTTTGAGGAGCAAGGAGATGTAGGTGTCTGAACTTGATTGAGGGAAAGAAACCGAACCAGATCAACCTCAGAGTGTTACTGCTGCTCTTAAATGTGGGCACTCCGGAAAAACACTGCTGCTAGAGCTAATCACCTGAAAAATCTAGAGACATAGGTAATCCAGAACCTTCACTGGTGGTTCAGATCAGACATAGGAGACACCCTAGGAACACTTGTGTTGTATCCTTAGAAAGTCAGGGCCTAGGAAATTACATTCTGTCAACTGCGTTGTCAATGCTTGAACTGAATGAAGCAGAGCTGAATTAGATTTTCAGGAATAATTTCTTCAAAGTGGAAGTTGAGGCAGGAGGATTACAAGTCTGAGGCCACCCTGGAATTACAGGTATGTTATGAGTTTTGTTTTCCTGCTGGCCTGGTCTGGACCCACCGCTGCACCAGCCCCAAATACCACACTGAGACGCTGTATTACATATAATGCTGTTGGCCTGTTACTAGCATTATTTATTGGCTAGCTCTGTCTTAAATATTAACCCATCTCTATTAATCTAAGTATTTCCACGTGGTCTTATCTTACCAGAGAGAGGGCCCGGACCTCTGTTCTCTCCAGTCTTTACATGTTGACTATCCTCCCAAATACTTCCGGAATCCTCCTTGTCTCCTAATCCTGCCTATCTTGCTTTCCTATTGGCCAACAGTGCTTTATTCGTTAACTAATACAAGAAACATATGTACAGAATGACATCTCCCATCACATGTGATTGCCACTACACCTGGATATTTCTTCTGCCTCCCAAGTGCTGGGATTAAAGGCGTGCACCACCACCACCCTGCCTCTGTGAGCCTTTATTTCAATTTTTGAAGAACCTGGGGCCCCTGGGTATAGTCAACACACACACACACTCACCACTGAAACATTTTTTTTGGATTAAAAGAAGAAAAAGTAGACCCCTCAATGACTACCTATACTCACCATGCTTTTCCTTTCATTTCCCCCCCTACGGTGCTAGCAAGGGTAAATGACATCCCTGGCCTTTAGGAAGTGGCTAACTAAAGAAGTAGATTCCGGGATGCCAGTATAGTTCTGCCTTAGAATTCCTGCATAGCATGTGCAAGGCCCTATGGAAAAATCAGAGTGCACCTATGTAGACAGACTTTAGAGCTATGTAGAAATTACAAAGATCCTGTGTGTTCTAGATAGTTTTCTGTTGCTGTGTTAAAACATTCTTGGAGTCTGGAGAGGAGGTCTGGCTGCTCTTCCAGAGGACCCGGTTTGCTTTCCATCACCCACACGGTGAATCATAACTGTGTAACTGCAGTTCCAG